TCCCTTGGGTAAAAAATATTGTGAAGTTCTGGGTTAATAACCTCACTACAGCCCTACAAATGGAGATGGACTACAGTGGCAAAGAGATGCCAACATCCCACTCTTAATTAACTGGGAAGGAAGGGTCCTGGAATGCTTGCAAGTTAGGAATCTCCCCGACACAAAAGACATCCCTAAAGAACAGACTTTTCCTAGAGTGGCCATGAGAGTATTGATATATCTACTAACCCTCAAAATTTCACAAGGATTATCAGATAAATCAAGATAAAGCAGTATTCTGCAAATAGGAAACACAAGTCAGAGGCACAGAATACAATTTCCAGCCCCAAGGCTACCCAGAACAAATCAAGATGACATCAGTGTACAAGAAATGGAAAGTTGCAAAGCTGAAATCTCTGAAATAATGGTAACTAAAGTAAATACATAACTGAAGGGCTGTATAGGAGAAAATCAGATCAGAAGTAATCTCTCATGAAGATAAAGAAGTGATAACAAAAAAGAAGTGATAACCACAATGAAAGTATTGCTCAGAACATCTAAGGAAGATAATCATAAAAAATTAGAGGAGCATGAAACGTGATAGACACCTTCAGTGAGCAACACAGCAAAGCAATAAGCTGCGGGAAACACGTTCAAAAGGGCATCCAGGAAATGAAGTACCCCATTTAAAGCTGGCAAAGCCATTTTCATGAAACTGAAGATAGACTTTCAGATCTGGAAGACACAATTGCAGCTAGGGACCTGGAAAGAAAGAGCTCTTAAAAATACTAAGGCACTAGAAAATAATAGCTCAACAGCTGCAAGATAGTGCGAAGTTGAAAAAATTGGACTGATAGGTGTCTTTGAAAAGAAGAAATCAGGGCCAGCAAGATAGCTCAGCAGATTAAGCACCAGGTTAGGCAAGCGCAGAGACCGGGACTTGATAGCTGGTACCATATGACACACAGGTCCCGCCCTTGGGCACAATGAACCAGCGATGGAGCCCGAGTGTGGTGGCACACGCCTGTAATCTCAGCACTGGGGAGGCTGAAAGCAAGAGGTTTACTACAAGTCTGAGCTGCATAGGGAAACCCTGTACCAAATACATAAAAAATAAGTAAATAAAAAGAAGAATTCAACATAATTCACATAAAAAGACTATTGATAGAAGTAATAGCAGAAATGTTCCAAGGCATGGGAAATGAATCTGGCATAGAGCTCAGTAAGCCATATAGAGATACACTTAGCATCAACCAAAATAAATATACACCCTGACATATGCTGGGCAAGATACTAGAAAAGCAGCCCAGGAACAATAAATTAAAAGCTGTTAGGGAAAAGAAACATATCGCATATATAAGAAATCATGCACTTTTCAAGTTAGTCTGTCTATAACAAAAAAAAATTGGAAATCCCTTTTTACCTATCTATTCCCCTTCAAGATAGCTTCTCCAAGAATTGAAGCCATCATACTCAGTGATATATCTGTTCCACGTTTATACCAGCGTATCTCACAAACTCAATCATAGCAGTGATCCATAGATCTATCAGCATGGAACTGGCTGAAGAAAATATGGCAAGTGCATACAGTAGAGTACAAATCCGCCATAAAGAAGAATACCCCTACGTCTCTTGTAGGGAAATGATGTACCTTGAAATCAAGGTGTTACATGAAAATACTATCACACACGTAGGGAGTTATTTAGCAGACAATATTGCTACTTCGTTGTTAACTGATGTCTGTATATATGGGCTCACTGATTTTTTTTTTTTGCATATGCCATTAATACTGGAAAATTTCCAAGCACTAAAAGTGTCCGTGCTTCCAAGTCTTTCTTACCTGTTTTTCTGTCACCAAATTCTACTATATGTCTTTGCAGATTGGCTTCTGACTGACGCTAAGCAATATAATCTTAATTTTACTCAATATCTTTCAATGGTGGCTCATTTATTTTTGTAATGGAATGATATCCCAGGGTATGTATTGAAAAAATATTTATCTATTCATCTATTGAGGGATATCTTGTTGTCCCTAATGTTTTTTCTTTTCAAACTTTCTTTTATTTAAGATTTGTGACAGCAAAGAATTTGTAAAATATCATTAAATTCTATTTGCTATACAATAAACATCTATTCCAAATAAGGGATACATTCCATAGATTAACAATTTTAATATGTAAAATAGTACTAGTTTTTACTGTAAGATTTGGACAAAATACAAAACATCCTTGCAATAAACTTGACAATGTAGCTTAAGTAGCTTATAGGATTTCAGAAATATCTCCTGAAAATAATGATGATGGCCATGAACTAGACAGAGCTAGGAAGGAACATCACACCAACAGACAGCATGACTTCCTCCACGTTAAACTGCCACCGAATAATCAGTGATGTATGACACATAAAAAATAAAAAAAAAGAGTACGCTCTTCAGAAGGAATGGCAAGAGAAGACAATTTATAAACAAACCTCTCCCAAAGTCCTGAAGAGCTTTTCAGAGGATCACAATCTCAAAGATCATTTCTATGACATGTTAAAAGACTCCTCTATATTACAATCCCTCCTCAACTATAAATACAAATCAACTACAGACACACTTGCTAAACAAGCACTTGGCTGTTACCACTCTCAGCTATCAGTGGCCTTTGGATGGAGAGGCTTAACGCGTGCTAATCTGGATAAGCCAAGGCGGAGATTCTGATTTGGGGACTTCACAGTCACAACTGCCAGTGGGCTGCTGCCACTGCCGCTACTTACAGACGGTCAGAGCTGGGTCGCTTGGGGGGCTCTGATATATGTATGCTCCTTGCTCATTTCCCTTTGGGGTCTTGGTCATCTTCTCTCACTGGTGGGACCCACTTTGGCCTCCTGCTTTCAGCTGAAGGACTCTGTATCTGTATGGCTTTCCTAGTGGCCTTTGAAGAAGAAATCTCCCTTGGTGAAGACTGAGATTCTGATTTGATTGTAGCTGGAGAAGAGTCTATTGCAGTCACTTCACTTCTTTCTTTTTATTTTCTTTTACTTTACTTTTTCTCATAGTAAATTATTCCTCGTTATCTTCGCTCCCACTACAATCGGAATCATTTTCAGAATCTTCACCAGCTGTCTCGTCTGGCTCCATGTCACAAGCACAGCTGCCATCACTGCCTGATGAAAGCATCTTCCTCTTCCTCACTGCAGCCTCAGGTGTGTTCCTTTTCCCTCGAACACAGGTATCACTTTCCTCTGTGATCCGGTCCAAATCTAGATAGTCACCAGCTACACTGCAATTGGAGATATGTAGAGACTTATTCATTGTTTCGGTTTTACTCCTGTCATGTTTTTGGATGCTTTTATCCTGAGACTTCTGCACATCACTGGTGACTGGTAGATGTTCCTTCACTGATAAAGCTAGAGCAGCTTCTATGCCTCTCTGGAAGATCTTGTCATCTAAGGCCACCCTTTTTTTAGGGGTTTTCTCTTGTAGTAGGATATCTTCTTTCTGGACAGTCTTCAAAGCAGGCTTTGGGTTGTCTTGTTTTAACTCTTTTGGTGTTGTTCTAGATTTCTTGTTTAAAGGTACAGTTGCAGGAATAAAATCATCATCACTATCCAAATCTTCAAACTGTGAGTAATTGACTAGTTTCTTATTTCACTGATGCTCCAAAGGGACTACATTGTCATCACCTGGAGACTTCAAATCGATTCCAAATTCAACACGTTGGAAACAGAAATCTTGATTCCTTCACATCTTCTAAATCTTGTTCTTGTTCCTTGACTTCCTCTTCAGTTACTTGCAGGCTGCACCATGGTCCCCTTCAAGAGTGTGAACTTGCGCCTGTCAGGGTCTTGTACGCACCAGTGGGGTTTCCAATTCCCACCTAAAAACAGACCTGTCCCTAATGTTTTAGCAATTATGAATAAAACTATTTTAAACTATCATTCATATGGAAGTTTTTATGGGTATAAGTTCAAAACTCACTGAGGCATTTTTATCACAAGGCTGCCCTTTGGCGCACATTCTTAGAGATCAATATTCACTGTGTATTTCAGAATCAGCGGATGAAAGTCCCCGTTGCTGCTCATTATTTGTACCACTCAGTGTCATTGTTCTTTCAGGTTTCAGCAATCTTCATAAGAGTGTGATAGGACTTGAATGTGATGTGTGATTCCCAATTAAATGTGACACGAACTGTGTTTTCCAATGTTTATTTCCTAACGCTTTGGCAAGGTTGTTGGTTAAATTCTAATTGGGGTTTCCTACTTTCTTTTAAGCAGGTCTTTTAAATTTTTCTTGACTCCAGATTTTATAAAATATGTGTCTTTGCAACCATTTCCTCCAGTCAGTTTCCTAAAAGCGCTCTTGTAGGCAAACTTGCTGCTAATTCAGAATTATCACTTATTTTATTGATAAATTGCATTTCTGAAGTTGTATTTAAGACACTTTTCCAAGTCCAACTATATTACCTTCAATAATTTTTTCTATAAGTGTTATACATGCCTTGTTTAGGTTTAGGCTTAGGATCAATTTATACTTAATTTTTGGACAGATTTATGGTCCGTCTCAAGGTGTGCTTTTCTCTGTATAGATGTCCACTTGTTTCAGCAACATCTGTTTAGAGTTTTCTCTGCTGAAATGTATTTATTCCTTGGTTAAATTCAAAAGAAAATATTTTCTAGGCCTATGTGTGGGCTTTTTGTTCTCTTCCATGGATTGATTTGTGTATTATTTTGGTAATACCTAATGTCTTAAATATGGTAGAATTACAGTAATTTTTAATGTTTAAGAATGTCTGTCTTTTGATGTTGTTCTTTCTCTTCATTATGTTTTGGTTATTTTTGTGTGTTTCTCATCCACTGACTTCTTGCAACATTTGCATACTTTTGTGTCTCTGAAGATTTCATGTGGGAGACAAACTTAGTTTTTGTTAGGCTCTGGTAACCAAGAACAAACAGTAAGAGCATTATAAAAGGCCTCGGATGCCCTGCTCAAAATCGCCAGGCCCAGCCAAATCTGCAGCTCTCCTCTCCAGTCCTCAGATATGCGATTCCGTCTGTTACTCTGTGCTGTCTTCTTCTTCTTAACTCTCTTACCTCCAGGTAAGCTGACGTGTGGTAAAATCGTGCAGGTTGGCAAGTCAGTCAAAAGTTTTAATCAATTTTACATGATTGAGAATGTAATAAGGTTATAAGATTCTTATCTTAAAGAGTAAATAAAATAAAAAAGGCACAATAAATTCTGTGAAAGTAAAATAAACTAATGAAATAGAATGACTACCTGGGCTCAGGGGAAGGAGAAAAGAAAAAAGAAGGGGAATATATATATATATATATATATATATATATATATATATATATATATTTTGTACACATAGAACTATAGAACTGATTTATGCTGGTCAAATGAAAAGACCAGTTAATGAATATTTATATCTGATCATATGAAAAATGAATTCAAAAGCAGTATGGTATAGACAGTATAGTATAGAAAATGTAGTAGCCATTGCTAAATTCCTATCATTTTATTTTGTGAAATACTGTATCATTTCTAATACTTTAAGTATTGTTTATTTTCCTTCAAAATTAAACAAACAGTATCTCTCCCCCAAAATTAACAATTGCCACTTGTTCTTGAAAAGAAAATTATGAAGCTTCCAATACGAAATATGTTTGCCCCCTTTGCTGTTGTTCTCATTATCAGATTAAATCATATAGCATTGTAAGTTGCCTGCTATTTCTCCTTGTTTTATATGATTTTGCATTTATTTTTTATTCTACAATTATACTAGTATGCTTTTTTAATATTATCTGCTAATATAACCTATATATTTGTTTCATTATTTTACTGTTTTCCATCACTTATTTTTAAGAATCTTTTAAAATATTGGTGCTTCTCTTCTTCGTTTTTCTGATTTCCATTAGAGAAATGTTAGTTCTCACATCTCAGTTCTACCTTCCAGTACACTAGCTTGAATTTTTTCTTTCTCTCATTCTTTTGTCACCTAAGACAATTGTCATTTCAACCTTTCACTTTTTCTTTTAAAATATTCTCAGTTCTGAAAGATTATGTTCTTCAAACTTGCTCATTCAGTTTTTCATGTGTACTGTTTCTTCTTTTTATTGTTTGTGAGAATAGCTTTTACTCCGCTAAACAACTGCTATATCACTGGTGAATTATTTCTCCACTTCACTAGTCAGTCACTGAGTCCTTGAAGACACAAGCATGATGCATATTTCATTTTCTTTTCCTCTTTCTGCTCACTGACTAAAGCAACTGAGATTGTGAGCTCTTAGCTTATCCATAATCCACCACTGCCAATGTCGAGATATCATCCAAGAGTTGGCTAGTTCCAAAGCAGTATGCAATGGCAGAGGAGCTTCACAGAGAACAATCAGTCCATGGAAAGGAAAGGAGTATGCAGAGAGGCAGAAAAACAAATCACCAGCAAGAGGGAGCTTGCCTTTCAATTTTATCTAGTGCAAGCTACAAGTCAATCAGGTGGTATTGCCAAAACCAGGAAGGTGCTTCTGATTCTCCCCTCCAAGAACCATGATAAACCAATCAGTGGGCTAATTTATTGCCATACACACCATATTCCAGTATTACACACCTTAGATCCATTCACATACCCCAAAGCCCACATATGAGCACATGAAGATTTGGGACTTGGAGTGCTTCTAGATGTGAGCCATAGTACACTATGATATTTTTCCATAAAGCTTTATAAATAACGTTATTATAAGTAAAATAGAAAAAAAGATACATGAAAAATGTAAAATGTGATTTTAAAACAAGCAATGCCAT